AAAGATCCACTTAGTAAAAGTATGAACTAAAAACCAGGCAGCAGCATTACAAACGTGAGCTGCCAAAGCCTGATAATAGCCCAGGAATACTAACACTCCTTATAGAAAAAGCAGTCACTTAGAACGGTGGAACTTTTTGCAAGCGTGAGAAATAAGCAAACAGATCCATTGAGAATTGGTAGATCTGGAAACCGTGTGACACTTCCTTGGGCCTTCAGGACGCACAAATGGAATCAAACTGAAAAGTTGCAGCAGGCGACTTCAGGTAAAGCTTGACGACATGAACCACATCCAAGCTATCCACATCCACTTTTCTTGGACCAGGCCAGGATGATCAGAATCACTGGAACACTTTCTACCCAAATCCTACAAACCCTTGAACTTCGGTGTCTGAGGTTTAGAACAGAAATAAGGTAATACAATGTCCTGGAACAATCGAAAGAAGAGAGCACCTTAAAAAGGATGGCTGAGACTGCAAAACCACTTTGTCATGATGGAGTACCAGAAACAGTTCCTTACAGGCAATAGCAACCACTTCTGAAACATTAGTATTGGCACCGGGAATAACCTTCCATGTCAGATGGCCTAAGGGAATATCCCAGATGGGTTCAATGGAAATTTCTGCAACACAGAAGGTACAAATTTGGAGGTCCCACAGAATCATAACCAGTAGAACAATACACGTGATCCCTTGTACAAAAAGGCACACACTAAAGAATATGAAGCAATGGAGTCTGAAAGAGGATCGCCAAGGCCAAAATTTGACCCTTGTGTGTACTCAAGGCTAGGCTCTGATCAACATCAGACTGGAGGATAAACGAAGATGAAGTCCCCTAGCCCCACTCCAGTTTTGTAGTAAATATTCGTTGAAGTCACTTTCCCAGTCTTCAGCAGGGCAGGAAAGACTGAATTAGAGACTCCCCTCTCTCTCAGGACCCTGGTTTCAACAGCCATGACAACATTAAAGCCAGTGACAGAAAAAAAAAAAAAAAAAAAAGGATGGAAGATCAGGCGTTGTACCAGGCGGTCAGGTCAATCCAGTAGGGTCCATGGGTTATCCAACAAGTTTACGGCCTTTCTGGACCAGGCCAGGATGATTATAAAATTACTGAAACACTTTTCATCCTAGAAGCTGTAATGGCAGGAGGACATAACGAAAGGAGAACCAATTCCACTGAGTTACCAGAGCATCTACAGCAAACGCTCAGGATTCCCGGTCCTGGATATTAATGTGTCCAGCTTTGCATTGAACCTGGACATCAAAAGATCCACATTTGGGGTTCCTGATCTTTGGCAGAGCTCTTCAAACACGTTTGGATGAAGAGCCCACTACCCAGAATGAGTCATTTGATGGGTGAGAAAATCCACCAATTTTCAGCCTTGATTACTACAGGAGAGGCTTCTCAACTCTCTAATACCCTAAGTAGGCAGAAGCGCTAAGACCAGGACTGGCAACTTGGTGAAAACTCTGGGAGCAGTGAACAGGCTGAATGGTAAGGCCACAATCTGAAAGTGGCAGTTTTTCACTGCAAACCACAGGAACTGTCAGAGAGGCAGGCATTTTTGGATGTGCAGATAAGCATTCTTTATATCCACAGATGCCAGAAAATCTCACGGCTAGAGGGAGGCAATCTTTGACTGCACTGATTACATCTGGAATTTCTGCACTCAGAGAAACTTATTAAAGTCTCTAGGATGGGGCAACATTGCCATTCTGTTTCAGACACGTGAACAATTTCAAGAAGAAACCATGGCACCTTTCACTCTCCAGGATGATCACTCCCTGAGACAGTAAGTGATTAAGTGCTTGAAAAAGAACAATCCTTTTTTGCATATTCAAAGAAAAATTTGAAACCATAAAAACACAGAAAGGGAAGGTTCTGAATTTCCAGTTTGTAACCTCGAGCCACTATGTTGCAGAGCCACTTGTCCACAATGTACCCCTGCCAAACATCTGCAAAAGATATACAAACAGCCTCATACCCCAGAAAGTGAGGGCACCTCTTAATTGTGAAGGGGACTTGTCTCCCAGCATAGAGGATTTTGGAGTTGGTCTTTTTGCGGAACCGAGCCTGGGGTTTGGAGTTGGAAAAGGAATGCTTCTTGGAAATAAAAAAGTAGAAGCCTGCAGTTCAAAAACCTGCCTCTTTTTCTAATTAGCAATAGGGTACTTATGCCAACAGTTACCTTTTGGTTGCAGTTATCCAGAGCAGGTCCAAACAAACATTCCCCATGAAAAGATAACATTCAACCTGCTTCTTTCAAGGTAACTCTACTGATCACCAATTCAGCCATAAGATTCTGTGTATGTGCACCGACAGGTGAGAGTTGTTGAATGGAGTTAGTTAAGGCATCCACCAAGAAATTAAAAGGGCAAGGGGAAAATCCTCCATGTATTTGCACGACCCAGTATCCTTGTAGTCAGGAGTCTCTCTCTTTCTCAATATCCAACGAGCCAAAACCTTGATGCTTTGACAATCTCACTGGCACAATCGTAGGTTGTAAGGTTGCCACTACAAGGGCAAAAATGAGGCTTTGAATAAGGCTTCAAGATGTTTGTCCGAAGCATCCTTAAATATCATGATCTCATCCATTGGTACCATGAGACAGACATACAGTGAACTCACTCTTCATGGGATATTGTTGAGCAAAGCGTTTTGGCGGAACAAAAACACCTTTTCAGGATGAGCCCAGTCCATGTAGAACACATCTTTTAAATTAAGGTGTACAGGGATGGTTGGAGATGCTGTGTGGCAGGTACCACGATCCCAATCCTGTAATCTTTAAGGATGGAGGACTCAGAAGTAGTTATTTTAAGTTGTTCTGGACTACTTCATTGAGAAAACCCACAAAACCTTTTGAATTGGGGATAAACCTGGACCAAGGGTTTCCTCTTGTGTAGATTCCTTGGAAGAGGAATTCTCACACTCTTCCAAAAAAGTGAGAGCATTTCTGCTTGCGACCAAAATGGTCTAAATTGGAAAAGATTCTGGAAAGATGGTGTGTTAACCCAGTAATAGCAGAGAATCTTTCCTTTGACACAAAGGAACTAGAGAAAGGGACCGAGAAGTAGTGGAAAGACCAGTGAAGCGAATGGAATCAGAGCCACGTGGAACTGAATCCCAGGGGATATACTGCAAGGGGAGCTACGTCCAGAATCCTCCCGATAAAGAAATTTGGGAACGCTTTACAGCCCAATCCCCCCCCCAATCTCTTTTGTCCGAAGTCAGAGGAGAGGGTGTCTTTATAATCAAATACCCATGCTGGTATGCACTAAAAAAAGGTAAGACTGCCAATAAAGTGCTACCTTTGCTAGTAAACGGTTCGCCCTCCCTTAGAACAGCAGTTAATAAGAATACCACTGCACTTCTTAGAAATAACTAGTAGTGCTGGCTGCAGGAGAATGCTGCCTCTGTTACCAGTCTTGTTCTCATGTGGAAGCTTCCCATGTGGCAGCCTCCGACAATCTCTGCCACTCCTGTGACTTCATTGGTGTGTACTGTGCCTGTGTGATCGCAGCGCAAGTCTTGGTACAGAAGCAGATGTTGACAGAGGAAGATTTCAACCCCTTGTAGTGGTGCCAAGAGTCTCCCAGTCTATCCCCAAGCTCCACCACTTATATAGCATTCAGGGAGGCCAGTAGAGGCAGTTTAGAACTGCACACAAAGTTGTAATAACACGGACGCCAAGGGGAGGGGGAGGAAAGAGGCAAGGGTAGAAACTGGGGAGCCAGAAGACACTGGGATCAACTCAGCCCTACTCCAACTGGACAGCAGCATTAGGAGAGCTACTACCAGGGCACTCACCAGTCTGCACTGCAGGGTTCCCCAGGGGGGGGGGGTCCAAATTTCACCCATTACAGTGGGCTGTCTCCCCAAGGGCCTTCAGGGACACAACATCTCAACTGGGAATAACTGCCTGGACCCATAGTGAAACCTGTCAGTCTACAAGACAACATATCACTGCACAGGGTCCCTTTACGCAATCCACTGCTGAACGGCAAGGTCGCAAGCAGTCCCTGCATGTCCAATCATGGGTCTGGGCACCAATTCATTTACTGCTGTAGGCAACAGATCCAGATAAGCCAGTCTCCTAATTCCAAATAGAATCTTGAGAAACTCAGCTAAAAAAACTGAAGCCATGTCGAGCTGGGAGTGGATGTCTTATGTCACCATCACGACACCTGAAGGTGGCAGCATAACCCTATCACAGTGGATATGAAGACGGCCTGTGTCCTGAAATGTATGATAAATAAATATAATTTGCTTTTTCCCTAATTTTTACTATCACGTGGAGCTCAAAAGCCGCCTATGTGATAGTAGCAACAGGCCCTCTTTAAGTGGTTAATTAAACAGAAATGAGCACTTCAGGGTGCATTCTCAGTAAGAGAAGATCAAAACATTCCATCCTTCATTTGCAGCAGGAGACAGTTAGGGCTCACTTCTACATTGAAACAGACCATGCGCACGATAACCAATGGATGTAAAAGTGTTTACTGATAAAATCTTCCAGCCCCCCACCCAGAGCTATCTTCAGAAGATGATGCAGCTACACACATAGAACATTATTCTATGTATATGATATAGAACATATGAATATCTTCTGAATGGGGAATTGCACAGGGAAATATACAGACTGATCTGCAACCCTTGATATGTGTTCCTGCAATAGTCAAGAATCTCTACCTCAAGATGTGATCGCCTATAACAAAAGTAAGTGATCTAAACAAGGATATAAATATCCATGGCAGGTCAATGCAGCCAAGAAATTAGGTGAAGGTCTAAACTCTGGAATCCCCAAATGAGCAACAAATAAGATATAGTCAGTCTGGTGGCACCCTACAGAAACATTAACCTTACAAATGCTTTTGTAAACAAACAAAATGTCAAACACATAAGATGTTTCACTCACTTGCTGAGATTTGGCTCTGCATAATTAACTGTTACTGTACACCTCCTTTTCCTCATGGAAGTTCCTGACAGCTTCCGGTCACCATCATTTGAAAATGGAAAAGAATGTTTCTTTGTTTCTTTGCTTCCTGAGCACAAAGACAAATTAGTGACATCAGAAAGGCTGATCCGCTGAGCTGGTAATGCTCCTTCAGGTTCATCTGAAAATATATATAAGCAATTAAAATATTGTATTGCAGTTAGGAGACAGCTGTGTAAAGGGTGGGAAAATAAAAAAGAAAATTCACTGAAATCACTAAGCAGCGAGGTAATCATAAGTGGAGCAAGCATGTATCTTTGTGGCCTTCCCACTACACAAGTGACTGATGAGTCGCATTTTAAAAGCAACTCCTTTGCTGAGCCAATCATTTAAAGACTTTCAACTCCTTTAGTAAATTAGCCTCCACATATTCCTTTAAGACCAGGCCTATTCTAACACTTTTAGTTTACATGTAAAAAAAAATATTTTTTTTTTGCTAGAAAATTACTTAGAACCCCCAAACATTTTTTTTCTTTTAACGCAGAACCCCATGAAAATAAAATGGTGGTTTTGGAATTTTTTTTTGTCACAAGGTATTCGTGCAGTGGTTTTTCAAACAATTGGGAAGGGGGGGAAATACACTTTAATGCACAACACAATATAATGCCCAATTGTTTAGTAAAATATAAGATGATGTTACACTGAGTAAATGGATACCAGCCATGCCACGATTTAAAATTGTGTACGCCTGTAGAACGGCATCAAACTACTTACATGATCAATAGGCAACACTTTGAACGCTGTTAGAGGTTACCATCTGCCTTTATAGAGGAGCTCTGGTTCTAGAATTATTGCTCTTGATGGCAATATCCCACATGTAGTGTGATCGCTGTTTACGTACCAACGCATGCATTTGCCTTCACGTACAAGCATGGTGGTCAGGGAATCGGGGCTTTACATTTTTTTCTTTATTCTTTGAATTATCTTATTTTTACACTGTAAATCCCTTGTGATAACAATAGAGCATGACAGGACCTAAGATCTCTTATCTGGCCTTAAAAGCACCTGAACAAACCGAGATCAGTTTGAACAGATGTTTTCCCAATTAGCTCTATGATCAGCTGGCAGAACTGCCAGTTTCAGTCCTTGACTTCCTGGTGGAACGGGAGAGCCCAGAGAGGAACTGAAGGGCAGCAGGAGGATGAACCCTCCCCACCGCCTGTAAAAGCGATCCAGTGGTTAATTAGCCGCTAGGATCACTTATACATTGAAGAGCTTCGGTGGCTCTAAAGATACCGGGTCATGACTGCAGCTGATCACTCAAAGTGCCGCAATGTACCCATATGTGGTTAGGTTAAAAGTTACTGACCAACAGAAATAGCTATACAAAATATGTGGGCAGCACAGTGGCTATATGGTTAGCACTTCCGCCTGGCAGTACTAAGACTGTTGGTTCGAATCCCAACCACGGAACCACCTGCCTGGAGTTTGCATGTTCTCCATGTGCGAGTTTCCTCTGGATACTCTGGTTTCCTCCCACACTCCAAAAACATGCTGGTAGGTTAATTGGATCCTGTCTAAAGTGGCCCTAGTATGTGTATGTATGAATGTTAGTTAGGGACCCTAGATTGTACACCCCTTGAGGGTTAGGGACTGATGTGAATGTACAATATACTGTATATGTAAAGCGCTGCGTAAATTGACAGCGCTACATAAGTACCTGTAATAAATATATAAAAATAAATATGCCAGGAAAATAAAATTAGCAATAAAGATGATGTACCTAAACTTTTGTCTGCAGGGAAAATTAAATTATCTTGATCCACGTGGATGTCTATGCTATGTTCCACTTTTACATCCTTATATGCATATTTTAACAAGGTGTTCTCTTTGTTTCTTTCCTCTGGCTCTGCAGTTTTGTTTAATCTGGTTTGAGGATTCTCTCCTTGACCATTCATACTAATTCTTCGATTTTTCTTTGCGTTACTGATATCTGCAAAGGATGTAATGCAAAAGTGAAGGTTCTTTATCACAGCAATAAATGAAATTACCCACAAAATAGTCACTACGTAATACAGTATGAAAGTGCAACGCTACTTATACTATATCATAATGTGCTAGTGCGATCCCAAAGTGCAAAAACGCCAACTGACATGCATATACCTGTGAACATAGATGTGGCTAAACTGACAGACTGTATTAAAAAAAATGAAAAATAAAAAAACCTTAAAATAATAATACCAAAACATACATGAAAAACACTACATCAAAATGTCCATATAAAGCTCAAATGAACCCCAAGATCTGTGGTTGGAAAAAAAGTGCATAGTACAATACCTTTCTGATTAGGGGAAGTTAGAATTCAGAGACATAGTTGCACAGTTTGTTTTTTTTTTACTCCGAGTCACTGGATTTTCTTGACCACTTGACCTCTGGAAAGTTTTACTCCCTTCATGACCAGAGCATTTTTTGCTATTCAGCACTGTGTTAATTTAACTGGCATTTTGTGTCATGCAACACTACACAAATACAATTGTTTATCATTTTTTTTCACACAGATCTTTCTTTTGGTGGCATTTATTCACCACTGGGTTTATTCTTTGCTATAGAAAAAACCCAAAAAAACAAAAAAACCCCCAATAACTAAATTTTGAAAACATTTTTTTTCAAACTTTTGGTTATAAAATTTGCAAATCTTTCATAAATTTAGGCCAAATTGTATTCGGCTACATTTCTTTGGTAGACATAACAAATCAGTGCATATTATTTAGCCTGTGTGAAAGTCATAGTGTTTATAAAATGATATAAAAGATTTGAAAATTGATCAGGCCTGATGTACTGGCAACCCATCTTCTTTCTTGTGGCCCTAAAATGCAAGGACAGTACAGATACCTTCAAATTACCTTTTTGGAAAATAAACACAGTTAAAAAGGTATTTAGAAAGAGGCACAGTTAGTTTTCTGAATTTGTAATTTTTCAGAAAATAAAAAAAATTTGGTTTTCTTCCCCCACGTTTTTCTTTTTTATACATACGGTTACCAGAGCAGTATAGCGGCATCATATAACTGGTGTGGCGGTGACCAGGGATACTGACTGGTGACATTATGTAAAAATAATAATAAAAAAAAAAAAACTGGGGGGGGGGGGGGGGGGAGGTTAACAGGGAAATCTGTGGTTTTTTTTACACTGTTATTGCTGTTACAGTGATGATCACTGTAACATTGATGGTTTGTACTGTCATGAATACATTTCTTTCATAAAACAGCTGACCTTGCTCTAGTGATGCTGTGATTGGCCTACAGTTCTCACATTGTACTGGGTGATATGATTGGCCCAGGTACCATGTAATAGTTGTGGGCCAATCATGTCAATGTAATGTAAAATGAACCTGCAAGGAAAAAGTTACATTTGTGTGTAACCTATTCCAGTCTTCTGCATCCCTGGTCGTGGAATCACTGTCCTTCCCAGAAGATTCTAGGAAAAATACTTACAGGTACATTTTTACCATAATATTGGGTGATTTTTTTTTTTTTTTTTTTTTTTTTTTTAAAGGGGAAGGGGCCTAGATAGGATAGGTGGACTTTGAGCCATTGAATCTTGTACAATTTGAAAAAAATGATTAATGATTTTCCAAAGGTACAGGGAAATCACTTTTTCATCAGTTGTTTGTTCCGAGAGGAGTTCAGCTTTAAATGGGAAAGTCCAACCAAACATAACCATTATTAACTACCGTTAATATACATGGGCCAGACGGGAGCAGCGCAGGAGTGGGTTGCTGTTCATAAACGCGCCCACATTTTCAGGCTGTGCGAACTCCCTGGGATCTGAACACCGATCGCTGTACTGGACATCTGTGTGAGGTCCCGAACATGTGATCACTGATTGGCTAATCAGTGATCACATCAGCAGTGGTAAGCAAGAGGTCACTTCTGACATCATTGCTTACTACTAGTGAAATCTGTGAATGATCACGGAGGTCACATGGTACAAAGCTATTCACAACAGCCTTGTACCATGTGACCAATCACAGCTCTCACAGTATTTCTCAATGGCTGCAAGAATGCAGCCAGAGAGAAGAAGAAATTGATTGCTTTTACAGCCTTTATGGGTGTAAAACCAATCAGTGTAAAAATAAATAAATAAATCTTCATCACCCTTCACAAATAGTAGTGTCACTATGGTGACACTGTACTGCTAGGGTGACAGTATGTTAAAAAAAAAACAAATATTTAAAAAAAAAGTGAAAATTATAATTTTTGGTTCTAAACTAATTTGGGTTATTGTTTTTTTATTAAAAAGATAACCAAATAAATTTTGGCCAAGATTTATGAAGAAAGATGATTTATTACTTATTTATTACTCACTCTGACCTACAAAACCATTCACAACACTGCCCCTAACTACCTCACCAACCTGATTCCCAGGTATCACCCCACCCGTACCCTTCGCTCTTCACAGGACCTCCTTCTATCTTGCCCCCTGGTCTCCTCCTCCCACCCACGACTGCAAGACTTCTCCAGGTCCTCCCCCATCCTCTGGAACTCACTACCCCAATTCCATCAGACTGTCACCTTCCCTCCTCACCTTCAGGCGCTCCCTGAAAACCCACCTCTTCAGGGAAGCCTACCCCACCCTCACCTAACTGCCGTTCTCCTTCATTCCTCCTACCACTCCATCACCCACAGCCACTTCCTCCTGTACCACTACCCCCTCCCTCCTAGATTGTAAGCTTGAAAGAGTAGGGCCCTCTAACCCCTCGTGTGCTGTTTGTAGTTGCTGTACTGTTTCATGCATTGTTCCCCCTCTATTGTACAGCGCTGAGCAAACCCTTTGGAGCTATATAAACTCGATGTAATGTAATGTAATTTGCAAAATTTTATAAGAAACACTTTTTTCAAAATTTTTGGACTTTCATTTATAGAGCAAAAAAAAATAATAATCCCAGTGGTGAATAAATACCACCAAAATAAAGTTTTATCGCTCTTAAAAAAATGCTAAAAAATTCATATGGGTACAGTGTTGCATGACCACACAATTGTCATTCAAAGTGTGATAGCGCTGAAAGCTGAAAATTGGCCTGGACAGGAAGGGGGTAAAAGTGTTCGAAATTGAAGTGGTTAAAAAAACACTCTCTACCTCATCCTCCTACCTATAAAGCATGCCCTGTGTAAAAAGATCTGTGTACCCATTTTTAATCTGTTCTGGTCACCTGATCCTACAGCTCCAGCTCCCGTGTCAGTGAGCGATTGATGCAGGGGAAAGGAGGGTGCGCCAACAATGGTTGGGCTATGGGAGCCATTGGGTAATGTCACAGCTCCCATAATTCACAGTAGTTGTCAAGTGCTTTTAGATAGGGGAGCCAGAACTGCAGGATAACAACTGGACTGAACTTGGAAGAAAAAAAACAAAGTACAGATTTTTTTTTTTTTTTTTTTTTTTTTTTTTTTTTTTTTACACAGGGTAGGCAGGATAAGTAGGAAGGGGAGGGGATCTTAAGAAAAGTTTGTGTTAGGCTTTTCTCCCAGTTTCCAGGCTTAAATGCAGACTGGGGCTTCTCTAAACACTCTCTTCTGGCAGGAGAAAAGCAGCTTCAAAATCGTTCCCAAGTCAAATTTTTTAAAATATTTTTCTGCAAAAAGACTGTTTTTGAAAGCACAGTTGTGTTTTTATTCTGCCACTAAACACCTATAGTGTGCAAGGACACATAGGTTAACATGGGGGCAGAGTGGAAAAAAAAAACCCAAAAACCTGTAAACCAACATTTTTGAACTCCAGTGTGCATGAGGCTTTAGAAATGTCTTCCATGTTTTGACATACCTAATACTAGTAACAGTTTGTTGTTGCAAAAGAACAAACCTTGTTTAAACTGATCGCTTCTTCTATTTTCCTTCTTCTCAGCTGACTTCCCCAGTTTGCTTCTTTTAGATCTGGGCCTTAAAGGAAGTGAAACTGCGTTTTTCTCATGGCTTTGATTTCTTGACTTATAAGGCAAATATAAACTGTCATCCAATTCTTCTTCTTCACTAGTGCTACTGTTTTTTACTGAGTCTTCATTCTCTTCTGGATTTTTGCTCTGCTTGCCTTGACGGAATGGAGTAACGTGTATACTCTCTTCAAAGACAAAGTCATACGCATCACCTGAATTTAAAGACCTATTCATTGTGTCTTTAGAGGCTCCTGACTTGCTTGTACCCCTCTCTCTACTCTTGGATCTACTCCTTGGTTTTGGCTTTTCCCAAGGTTTTTTCAACTGGACAGTACCTCCTCCCTCTGCTCTGCCTTTTTTAGCCTTCTCTCGACCTGGACGCAACTCATTTTTGCCTTTGGCCATTTGCTTTGGTTTGGGCTCAGGGGTTGAACTTGATACCTGAGACAGGTTTGTAAATGGAACAATTTCATCTTTTGAGGGACTCTGGCTCACATAAACACCCATCCGTTCATCATTGTTGCACCTATTTAAGCCATCTTCCACAGGGGAAATGGGTTCCGATTCAGGAGCTTCAATCATGGAATTCAAGGTTGGATTTCCCACTGGTAAATAATCCATAGAGGACTCTTCTATGCAGATGTCTAAACTAGAAGCACGGCGCCTCAAACACACATTCTTAAGATAGCTCATGTCATCTGTTTTCTCTGTGTCAGAGTTGTCATCATCTGTTCTTGGCTGACTTAAGCTGGATTTTCTTCCTAAGAATGACAGAAAAGAAATATTTAAACAAACCATATATTCCTAATATAGTAATCTTTAGGGTATCATGCACAGAGCCATAATGAATCTACCAATAGTCTACGCAGGATCTTGCTGGCACAGGTAGGCATGAAATGACCCATTCAGTGCTTGTACTTTCACTTGTATAAACAATTGTATGGCATTTAGATGCTTCAAGAGTAACTCTACTTTTGTGGGGAAACTACCAGGACGCTGGTGAGCACTCTAGTTCATTGATCCTTCCTGTTAATCAGTATCCTGTCTGCCTGGGCAAGCAGTTACTGAGAGAGTCTGCGGGATCTAGGCACTGCATTATCAGATCGTGGGTGCAATACCTTACAGGCGGAAATGTAAAAAAAAAAAAAAAAAATAATAGATGCACTTTTACCTGCAAAATTAAGTGCATTTATTAATTAGTTTTTTTTACACAAAAGGTGAACTTATCCTTTAGAGAATCTGCTGCTGAAGGATTGGTGCCAGATACCACAGAATACCATCAGAGGTCTACTGACATCCATGCCTCAACCTACTCAATATTAGGTGGGTGGTCATAAAGTTATGTCTGATCAGTGTATTTCTCTCCATGCATGTTTTCTGGACTCTGAGAAATGCAGGCCATAAGATGATTGTAGAAAGCACACTTATTCATAACGTGGGCTGATTAAGATATAAGACAGGGTAGACTCATCCTTCCACAAAACCCTGAGAAGCACTGTCCGATATAAAAAAAAAGTTACATTCCCGGCATGCTGAGAATGCCGTCACATTTGCTTGTGCTCTCAAACTGTCAAATCATCAAATAGCTGTTGGCAGAGCTGATCACATGAGCAGCATTCATGGCAGTTGCAGATCAAACAAGCTAGGAGAAAGTAGTTCCCCTGGCTGGAAAAGAATAAAAAGGGCTTCATTCCTCTTTAACGGTTTTGGGAAACAGTTAAATCAATGGGTTTAGTTCCACTTTAAAGTGGAACTTTAGCCCAGAAGTAAAGATGGGCAAACAGGCAGGAATTTTAATGAAAAAGAGACATGCTTTCTCTTCTGCATAAAGGTTACTTACCTACCTGTCCGACCTTGTACAGTGAGCCATGCACTGGCAACTCACTGTACGAATTCAGCAAGGCCGAAACTGAATGAACTCCTGCGCATGTGAGGGAGTGATGCCACCCCCTGCCTGGCCAATGACAGAGGCTGGCGATGGAGACCCTGAATGCTGGCCACCCAAAGATGTCAGCGGCTGGGAGGGGAGCTCAGGGATGCCGCAATGCTGCAGCCAGGGGGAGTATAGCTCCGCTTCAAGCTGCATTGTGAGCCCGTAATATAAGCCCGCTAGGTCAGTTTACTATAGATTACTTAGAATATAAAGTGCCAAATACCGCTATTAACATGTGATCAGAAATAAAATTAAAAAAAAAATAAGCAAAAGATTGTTAGGCCATGCAGGGCCATGTTTACCAGCACAAGGATGCACAGGTGTTCTGTACAGGCAGTCCTATTCAGGTCTCCTAGAATACAACCGCTGTGTCCCAATAGGACATGCGTGTGGGTGCACGTCCCGATATACACACGGTGGGTTTAGGAACATGAACTCACACCCACACAGATGTCATATTGGGACACAGCATCTCTCTCTCTCTCCTAAGATATTGGGGCTAGATCACAAAACCAAACGTTTTGTTGCAAATAGTCAATAGGGTAGCAAGAAACGCGTTGAGAAAAAAAAAAAGCAAATTAACTGCCAAAGATTTGAGAAGAATCAAACGTGAAGCTACCGGGAACTCATTATCCTCCAGTTCTGTCATATTCCAGAACTGCAACCTACCTGTAGTGACTAGAAGTACAAGGTGTTCAGTGCTCAGAGACATGGTCAAGGTAAGGAAGGCTGAAACTCGACCACCACTGAACAAGGCACACAAGTTAAACATCAAGACTGAGCCAATAAATATCTGGAGACAGATTCTTTCGAAGATTTTATGGACTGATCAGATAGACTATTGCTGGACCAGATGGATAGATGGGGTGCTGGTATTAAAGATGAGCTAGTTGGACCTTTTCTGGTTGAAGATGGACTGAAAAAGTCTACTCCCAAACCTACTGCCAATTTTTAGAAGACACAGGAAAAAAAGTCTGCTTCTTTCAACAAGACCATATTTATACAGGACAATGCTCCATCGCATGCATCGAAGAACGCCACTGCGTAGCTAGCCAGTAAAGGCCTTAACCACTTCCACGCCGCCGTATAGCATATATACGGCTACACGGCGGCACCTGTGCGCGAAACCACGTAGATATACAAGATTTCGCATTTCCAGGTGGGGGCTGCGCGTGAGCCCGACCCACGCCGCCATTCATGGTCGCGGATGTTGATCACTAGGTCCCGGCTAGTAATTACCCGACAGCGACCGGTGATTACTGATGCGGAGGAAGACTTTTTTTTTTTTTTTACAAAAAAAATCCCTGTCAGCTCGAACACACTGCTCAGGATGGCTTTTTAAGCACTGTTCACTGTATTGGTGTCACTGGGGTGTCATGGTAGTTCCCCCCCCCAGTGTCAGAATGTCCGCCGCAGTCCCGCTAAAAGTTGCTGATCGCTACTAATACTACTTCTTGTCAAATGTTTGGTCTTCGCCTTTATTGGATCTATGATGTGATTGCATGTATTCTTCTCTTAATAAAGAGTTTGCTTGATTTAAAAAAAAAAAAAAAAAAAAAAAAAAAAAAAAGGACGCTGATCGCCGCCATTACTAGTAGAAATTAATAAAAAAAAAATCCCAGTATCTATACCACCATTTGTAAACGTTATACCTTTCACATAAACTAAGTTACATGTATTGGGATATTTTTTTTTTTTTTTTTTTTTTTTTTTAGCAAAGACATGTCGCAGAATACATTTTGGCCTAAATTTATGATAGAATTATTTTAATTTTTTTACTTGACATGTTTAAAAGAAAAGTTCAAAATATTATTTTGTTCTCAAAATTGTCAGTTTATTTTTGCTTATAGCTCAAAAATTAAAAAAAAAAAAAAAAAAAGAAAAGCACCAGGCGATCAAAGCTCAATTCGTGGGAAGAAAAGGACATAAATTTCATTTGGGTGCAGTGTTGCATGAACACGCAATTGTCAGTTAAAGTAACGCAGCCCCGTAACGCAAAAAAATGGCCTGGTAAGGAAGGGGGGGTAATTACTCAGGAGAGCAAGTGGTTAAAGATGAAAGAAAAATGACATGGCCACCTTTCACCTCTAAAACCTGACCTACACAAACTCTGAGATGAGAGGCTTGCAGGCCCTTCTTAACCCTAGGCTGTTGACGCCGACGCTTGCCAAACACAAATTGGCAAGGCCTCACGGTGACCTGCAGGCGGTTTTTTTCGCTCGGCAAAACGCTCCGCAATTTGCGCGGGTTTACCGGTCTTTGTGCTAGGCGTTTGCCGAGCGTTAATAACGCCCCACAAACGCCTATAATGCATTTGAGTGGTGTTACCCTCCGCAAAACGCCCGCAACCGCACCGCAAACGCCGGCCGGGTGTTTGCGGAGCGGCACCATAGACGAGAATAGGAGGCTTCAAAAGCCTCCTGACTCGACCAGAGGCGTCCGTTTTGCCGCGATGCGACGCAAACGCTCCTGTTAGAACAGCACAATGTGCTGTAATGTGCGAATTGGCAGAGGCGTTTGGGAAGCGGTAAAAACGCTTCCCAAACGCCTCTCTGCGCCTGCACACAAGGCTAGTGTGAACGTAGCCTTCACAAATATGCGGCCTCACGGACCTGGGACTTTTTTTCGTGGGGCCGCATATTTGCGTATTGTCTTTGTGCTGGGAGCGCTCCGCTCGGCGCTCCCAGTGACCAAGACGCGGTGTCACTGAGAGCCCCAGGTCCGGGACCCCGATTCCGGGTCACGTGATCGCTGTGATAGCCTCTGATTCTCACAGTGATCAATCACTGTGCATGGAGAAGAGAGATACATTGTATCTCTCGAACTCCCTGACATAGAGAGATAAAAAAAAAAAGTTTGTAAAAAAAAAAAAAAAAAAGATAAATAAATATTAAAAAAATAAAAGAAAAAATAAAGAAAAATACCTAGATCAAGGTTTGATCTAGTTCAGTACCAGGGTTAGTGTTTGGGTCAAGGTCAGGGTGAAGGGCAAAGGTCAGGGTCAAAGGTCAGGATTAAAAAAAAAATTGGTGTCAGTTAGTGTTAATGTCAGTGACAGTGTGTTTTATGTAAAAAAAAAAAAATTAAAAAAAAAAGACAAAAACAAAATGCGCACTGTGTTGTTTCTGGGCTGTACTACGGGTACAAACAACAAATAACATACACATATATGGTATCGCTGCGATTGTCAAGAACTGGAGAATGTATTTTGGGTTGTTCTTTGGCGATAGGTTATGGTTGTAATAAAAGAAAACACACAGTTAAATTTAAAAAAATGATTTTTTTTACTATTTTGGCCCAGTTTTCCTTTAATATAAAAAAAAAAATTAGGAGCTATCCATGACCATTTACCACCAAATGAAAGCCCAATTTGTCCTGAAAAAACAAGGTATAATCCACCTGGATGTACAAAGTAGTTGTGACGATATGTACAGTTTTACTAACACATGTCAACGTTGCAGAATTGTGCTTAGGCATTTAGATTTGTTTTACCCTTAGGCGTGAAGGGGTTAAATGGGAGCTTTATGGTGAAGGAAAACAATACATCTCTATGAACAGTGTCTGGGAGGCTATGGTTACTGCTACGCAAAGTTGATCGGCAACAGATCAAGAAACCAAGACTCTATGAATGGAAGGCTTATGACTGGTATTGAAAAGAGTGGCTATATTGGTCACAGATTTTTTTTTTTTTTTTTTTTTTTGAAATGCCAGAAATGTTTATTTGTAAATTTTGAGTTGTTCGATTATTATTCCTACTTTAACAGATGAAAAAACAAACAAGTGAGATGGGGAAAAAAAAATATGTTTTCATTTAGCTGCATAACAATTCTACACACGAATAGTTGCCCAAAAATTGTGCACACACATAAATTCTCCTAAGAAAGTAAAAACCTCACTTTTACTTTAAATATTCAGGATTGAGGTATAACAACATTTTGGATTGACCAAGAGCACTGTAGTTGTTCAATATTTAAATAATTTATTGATGTGGGGTCTTTGCAACGAGTGTAAATTTTCTGTTGTAGTGTGATGGGTGCAAATTTTGTAGTGGTAGCAGCTTTCTCAATATTTAGTTTTTTATATTTGTGTATAGCGTTGGGGGAGGGAGGGGTACGACGACGACAGACTGTTTGCAGCACTTGAGGAAGCCTACAGGAGAAATGAGTAAGGCATGCATTTACCCTTGCAGTGCGTGGGAAAGGGGGTGGGGGACCCCACTTTAAGGGTGTTTTTTCCCCCATTTCTCCTGCAGTTGGGCTTTAAAGTTTTAGTCTACATTTTCTCCCCTTGTCTCTTGCTGGTTTTAATTGGCACACTGAAAGGAAAGAAACTGTATTATATTGACATTTTTCAGCTTCTTTTACATTCTTACCTCTAGAAAATCTCTTCACTGCAGGCCCAGTACTGGAGTTCTCTAAAGCCACGCCTTTGGGATTTCTTGTCTCAGCATTTGAGCAGCTATCCGACACACTCCTAACATTTCTTCCTACATCAGAAGCAGGAACACATGTCTGTCCCCTATGATAGGGAAAACAGAGAAGAGAAAGACACAAAATTACCATTTAGGAGATTAGTCAAGCCCATTTTAAGGAATATAAAAAAAAAACAAAAATAAATCACTTAAAGAACATTATGTTGACACTTGACAATTTTAAATAACCTTGGAACAAGTTGAATCTTTTTTTTTTTTTTTTTTAACATGAAATACCTGAGCGTGATTAGCTCAAATCTAAAACAAACAAAGCAGAAGGTGCCAATTTGATACACTGTATAATTATATAGCAAAGTGAACATGTACTATAATGGGGCTGACTTGCAGTTGTACTCATTCTCCCCAGAGAGATGGTGAATGTGGTGAAGCTTCACTTTGTAAACAAATACCCAAACAGATGCAAGGAAATTAAAAAACAGCATTTTTGCTTGCATATGATTGGGTGATGGAAATCAGCAGAGCTTCACTACATTCAATAAGTTCTGGGGAAAATGTGTGCAACTGCACTTGCAAAGTGCAAAGTCTATTTCCCTTTAGTAATCAACCCCATGGGCTTCAGCAAAAGGATTATTAATATTGGTTATTCAGATATAATACACATTTTCCTTGTACTTTAGAAATAGTTACCACTTTCAGCTATTTAAACTGCATACTGGGCTTGATTCATCAAGCTTCAGGATTATATGCTGCATGTTAAAAGTGGCATCAAGACAGAACACCCTCCTTGTCTTCATACCAGGGTTTCTCAACCAGAGATTTGGTTCTGCTGAAAATCAACATTATGGTGCATGTATATTTGTGGTCCAATGTTGTTCTCAATGCACGATGACAGCAAGTAAAAAGAGGCGAGAGATCCTGTGTATGGAAGGGGTGAAGGCAGACTACGGGAGGAGGGGGGTTAGGGGAGCAGAGAACAGTAGCATGTGGCTTAAGCAGCAGGAGGTGAAATCCTGTGTATGATAGCACTGAATGCAGACTACAGAGAAGGAGTACGCAGCTGGATTAGATGGTTTGAAGCAGGAAGTGAGATCATAATAACTGTACATAAAGCCATTATAATCTCACCTCCTGCTACATTCAGTTTGATCCATCCACATGCTCTAGCTCTCTGCTTTCCGCATTCAGCACTGCCATAGACAGGATGTCACCTCTGGCAAAATTCAGGTAATGTGCTCCTGCACTCCTACTGGCACCACCCTCTGAGTTCACAGGCACTGGAATTACAGAGGAATCATTGGGTATCAGTTTGCACTAACAGTACTCACTGTCCGTGCACAATAAACATTGGGCAGATATACATTAGCCACAATATTGATTTGTGGCTTAACCCCTGGGGACTTCTTGTGGAACCTTTGTTGAGAAAGCTTGTGTTATGGATTTGCAGATTGCTGCAGGGAATCATACTAATAAAATTACTGTGCTGTTGTCCACTGGCCCTTTTCTTCTATCTATCCCGGGTGAGATCACATACAGAAGCCTAGGACAGACGAGAGAGGAGGGCTAGTGGGGATCAAAGGGAAAATGCAGGTTACAGCAGATTCCCTACACTGATCTGCATGTGAAGGAAAGCAACTCCATATACTCTGCGCCGGAGACCTCTGACTGTACTCTGCCCTGTCCGTTTATTAACTTGAGCAATTTATAATTTTCTGCAGGGATGATTGTGGTACACTGCAGCTTCAGGACAAAGTTGCAGGCCTTTTGATTTGAAGAAGTGTTGGCTGAAGCCTCACTACAGGGAGTTCCAAAGCGCACAAGGTGGAAGGAACAGCAAGATCTCTTAAGTATTATAATGCACTGGGTGGTCGGTGGAGGGGTACCTGTACATTAAGTGTCTGGAAATGTTCTTCCTGGTTGTGCAGATAATTATGTCTGCACTGTGACCTCATTCACAACATTTACAGAATCAGCTGTTTTCTCTGTGCCATTGCAGAGAGACAGGTGCAGAAAAAACTCAACTTTTCTATGGGCCCTATTCACACCACAGCACCATGTATTTATTCTGCACAGAGATAGGCAACATTGACTCAGGAAGAAAACAAAAAAAAAAAACAACACTGTACTCAAGGAAATACAGAGGCTACCTTTGCTGCCCCTTACTAAAATATTAGTTGCTTGGCCATCATGCTCATCCCATGACTGAGCAAGTATGCATATCAAGAGTTTTTATTTCACTTGTTAACTTATTAGCTCTGGGTCAGAGACTCAAGGGATAAAAAGGCAAGATGGCCAGGCAACCAAAAGTGCACTTACCCTTTAAAAGGCCACGTTCACCTTTAAAAAAAATAAAAATGCACATATTTTTTGCAGGTAAAAAAATGTGCATTCATTTTTTCCCCCTGGAGCTTGCAGAGCATTGCACCCACAATCAGCAGATCATGGGTGCAATGTAAGGCTCCTGCAGAATCTCAGTATAGCTGTCTGCCTGTACCTTATATACAGGCAGACAGTTACTGGAGATAAGAAAGATGAATGAACTACGAATGCACTCAACATTGCGCTGGCAATGCCTGTGCTCTTAAAATTTTGACGTGTTAAGCAAGGTGAACTTATCCTTTAATCCATAAATGTCTAGCTAAATAGAATACATGTACAGAGTATTATTAGAATACATAAGATATAAAACTCACAAGCTACTAATTGTCTGACCAGGACCTGAAATTCTCTCCATGGCAGCAGTACCTGTTGAATGCTAGCAAAAAGGGGGGGGGGGGGGGAAACAAACAATGATAAAATGTATAAATATATATATGATAGATAAAAAAAAATTATAATATCCACAAAAAACTGCAATGGACTAAATTATAACCTGTGAAACACCAACAATCAAAATAACTGGTGTACTTAACCACTTAACCCCAAAAAGTAAAAAATAGAAGAAAGTCTTAGTACAGCACAATGATATATACACCACATAGAGGGGAAAAAAAACCCCATAGTGTCAATGAAAAAAAAAAATTTTAAATCACAATGGCTTCCTTTGCTTACATACAAAAGCTAATCCAATAGTGATACAAAATGTTCAATAACCAAATCTGAAGAGAAACAAAGTGTCCACTTCAATATTGCATTGCTCTATTTTGTGAGCAAATATGCATCTTAGAACAAGAAACTTTCCACCCTTAAGTTAATTTATGTTTTCAATGACAATATGTTATTAGAATCACTCAGATTTTTTTTTGTGAGATATTATCCATCTATTCCTATATGAGGCATTAGACTTTGAGAACCTATAATCTTCACTTGGAAAATAATTACATTCTAAAATAAAGAGAAGGCTTTTAATTTTAAATATTTACCACACAAAAGAATACCTCCACCTAAAATATAAAGAGCGCTATTTAAATCAAAATTTACTCAAAAGGAAAAGGCAGAGGGTCAGTGGGGAGGGAGAGCACAGACGTGGGTCAGTCAGGCTACACGCTTAGAGCCTCTAGCTCTTTCTATTGGCCAATAGGAGCTAGAGGCTCCGAGCGCATAACCTGACCGACCCACGTCTGTGTTCTTCCTCCCCACTGACCCTCCGCCTCTTCCTGTGACGTCACATCCTGCCGGTGTGTTCCAGGCTGGTTACTAGGCTCCTTCCTGCACAAACACCGCTAGATCGGCTCTACAATACCACCACTCTGCAGGATTGACTACTACAGTGTCTCTCACCATCTCCATCAGCCCAGCTGCTATTGCACTAAGCACCCGTGGCGCCTGGAGGACGTTTTGAAAAACGGTCATCTCTCATATACACTGACGAGCTTGTTTTATTACTTCCTTTGTGAGTGTTTTTTAATCCTTTGCTATTAAATACACAGTGTTATTGCTACACTCAGACAGGAGCCTCCTGTCTCTTTTCTTCTGTCCCTGTATACAGAGCTGGCTTGTGCCGAGGATGGCTGCCATCTTTTTGTGCTAAAAATATTCCAGGCAGATTGCCCGAGAGACTCTTATAAGGACCAATGCATTTACATACCCTGTTTTAAAGTAATTGTACACCAATATTGCCATTATCTTTTACTTTATATTTTTTATCCTTTTCAACCTTACACTACTTTACTCCTGTGCACCAGTTACTCATTTTTTTGGGATATAATGAAGTCTTCTCTTCCTTAAAAGAGAAGTATAGGAATAGTTTTTTTTTTTTTTTTTTTAAATCATACTTAACTAGGTGGATGCAGGATCAATCCAATGCTGCATCTGTCCTCCTCTAGCTCTAAGGGTGAGAAATGAGTACTCAGACACCACTGATCACTCAGTTCTCCATGCTGCTCTGAGCAGAGACTGTCAGTCATCGCTGTCTGCTCTGCCCCCCTTCCCCCAGGGGGCACTGGGCTGTGGAGGTAGCAACTTGCTGCGAGACCGAGCCAGGTGGTACTGGTCCACACATTGGGGTGGATCTCAACTTTAAAGCCGGGATCTTTCCCCAGTCTGAACCGGCTGAGTAATGTCAGCCGACAGTGGAGTTTAGCCCACTGTCAGGTAAAAACAACTCACAGGAGGGCACAACAAACTGCACTCCTGTGATCCATAGGAGAAGTACAGCCAAACTACCTTTGGCTGTACTTCCCCTTTCCACAGAAAGAATGCTTACTTTCCCCTGTACCACAGAAAGAATGCTTACCACACAAAGTAATAATAGACAACTAGCCTGAACTAGTACAAGTTTAGGACTAACTTTGCAATATTAGGGGGTCGTGGCTCTGGATGCACAGTAGACCACTGAGGAATAAAGATGTGATTTGCATAGTTTTGCCAACTTTAGGTAACAAAGAAAGTAACCCCAAGTTAAAGATTGAGAACAAACAGTGTTAGAGTCTGAATTGCTGAAAAAAATACTCACATCAGTTGAACACAATGCATGTGCTGGGCCAAGAAGGTTGGCAGTCTCTAGCAAATTGTGCGTGACTTTGGCAATTATTTCTTTCAAGGAAGCCA